CTAGCTCCATCCATGTTGCAGCGAATGGCACTAGTTTAGCTTTCCTGATAAGCTCTTGAACATCTTTCCCACACAGGCTGCTTGTTGCTAGAGACAAACCAGGAAAACTGGGGGGTTCTGGGCCTCGCTATCCTGTGTCTGCCTTGACTGGCCTGTGTCTCACCCCGTTCGCAAACAGGGAAGCTTGGGATGAGAGCGGAGCCGGGTGTGAGACCCCACCGGCCCCCAAATGCCAGACACTGCTCTGAGCAGCGCCGCCAGGCTCCCCGCCCCCCGACCTCCGAGCCGGGCCGGGGCTGGGGGTTATGCACCCCACACTTGTGCACACCCCGTCTGCTGCTGGCTTGTCTGATCTTTTTCTTTTCTGACTCAGTGCAAACGAGGCAGCCCGGGCTGGCTGCACCTCGGGGAGGGCCCCCTGGGGCTTCTCAGGGGCCCCCATGTGACCTCCTCGCCGTCCTCTCTGCCCCGTGCCTCTCCCTGAAACGAGACGCAAAACGTCTTTCTCTGTGTGGAGCCGAAAGGGGGGTCCTCGCCCACTGACGGCAGGTGCCCCTGTCAGCTCTTCCACGCCCCTGGCCAACGCCCGGGCGCCGGCCAGCTCCTGCCCTGGGGCGGAACCTTGCTGACTGACGCCCCTGTGAGCCCGCGTCTCCACAGGGCAGCGTCTGCTCCTCCCTGTGCGGGGGACCCCAGAGCACTTCTGACTCACGGAGGGCGGGCGGCCTCTGAGACCCTGCGCCTCTGCTCCCCCAACGGGTCGTGTCCATCGCCGGCAGCGGGCGTGTTTACAAATAGTGACGGGTGAGGTGCTTGCCTGGCGTCCGCGTCACCCTCTGGCCGCCCGCCTTTGTCGGGCTCGCCGTCTCCTCCTCGTGCCCCACCGAACAGCACTGTGAGGGTCGTTCGCAGCCACGGCGTGCCCACACCTCCGCCACCCCTCGTCTGCCGCGTGCCTCGGACGGCCGCGCGACGGGCCCGGGCCTGAGGTGCGGCTCTGGCCCCGCCCTCGTGCGACTGCGATGCCACGAACGTGTTGGTGCTCGACGAGCTTCTCGACGCTAGGACTTCCAGTTGGCTTCAGATGGATTTTGCAGAAGGGAATGACGGGTCAGGAGCGGCTCGCGCGCCGCCCGCTTCCCGAGACACACTCGGCGACGCAGGGCCGTCTGGGCCGCCGCTGCCCGGGGCCTCGTACCTGACGGGCTTCTGCTGACGGCGCCGGTGCTGGCCCTTGTCCTGTGAGCTTGTTCAGCAGTTGTTTCCTCCCCATGTCGGTCGCGGTGGGGCACCTTCCTGCCGCCTGGAGCCGTCTCTTCGGGTCACACAGATCTGTTCTTCTCCTTTCGCCAAACATTTCCCCAGGTTGGCATCTTCCCTGAGTTTGTATTTGACAAGGTTTTGGCACAGCGCCATCCCGTTTTTTCTTGCCAAGTCTACCGGGCGTCAAACCTCCGAGACAGACGTGTTTTACTCTGCCGTCTTCAGTAGTGTCGTGAATGTGCGTCAGACGCTCTTGAACTCACTCTCGTGTATTCTGGGAAGCGGGTCAAAGTCGCCGACTCGTCATAGATAAACGCTGCGCACAGTCGTGTGATTATTTTGTAGCGCCGGGACCGTAGCCAGACGCGCTCGTCACTGCCCCCGCCCCAGGCTGCCTGTCTCGCTGTTCTCGTCAGTTCTGCATCTAGGGTTGAGTGAGTCTCTGTGAAGCGCCTTCCAATGTGTCTGTTTATGAAAACAGTTGCTGTTCCACTTGAGAATTTCTGCATTAAAGAGCCTCTTGCTGATCACCAACGTGAGCTTGTGCCCACTTTCGAAGCCTGAACGTGGCGGGTTGACTCCAGAACAGGGCGCCAGCGCCCGTCGCCAGCCCCGAGCCCACGTCGGGCTCCGGGTCTCGCCCTACACGCCTCAGGTCTCCTTACCCCTGGCGTCCCTGCCGCGAGGGGTTTCGCTTCATGTCTCAGTGAAAGCCGGTCTCGAGGGAGGGGTCCCTCACCACCGCCCCACGTGTGCGCCAAGCAGCTGGACCCCAGGTCTCTGGAGGCACCTGGGAGGCCACAGAGGCCCCTGCAGTGTTGATGAAGCAGTCCAGGAAAGCCCAAGGCACGTGTGTGCCAGCCCCCATGTACGCGTGTCTTGGGGAGCCAGCGCCCCCCGCCTTCGGCCTCAGTGTAGCCTCCTGACACCGACAGCGGCAGCCGCGTCCAGGCCGGGCCCAGGCCATCCCATCCCCAGGGGTGCTGACGGGGTGTGCAGGACCCTCGGCCGAGGCCCCTGACTCCAGGGCCTTTCAGGTACAAACACCGGCATGGAGGGCAGGGCCGGGCACCCAGGGGCGCCGTGGGTAGGATGGGCAGGTGGCTGTGTGCCTAACTGAAGGACTTGCCCTCCAGATACGATTTTTCGAGGGATGCTGGCCCTCCATCTCTGGGTGCAGTGGCCAGTGGCCGAGGAAGGC